GATGCCCTCTAAAAAAAAAAAAAAACATAACCTTGGGACACACATTGCTCCTAAACTGCTGCTCATTTATTCGTTCACTAGGCAAGATACTTCAGCTATCTAGTTTCCATTTTCTTATCTATAAAAGGGAGAAATGTTTATTAGACAAAATTAGGAATAATTTATAGAAAACTCACAAAAACAAGGTCTAGTTTACAGGAAACTCAAAATAAATGGCAGAACTGAACTAAGTCAGGAGACTTGTATTGACATTGAGTAAACAGCTATAACTTTGCTAAGTCACTTATTATTAATCTTCTCTGGGTCTCATTTCTCCCACCTATAATATGAATGAGCTATACTTGGTAAATTTTGCAGTCCATCCCAGCAATAAAATTCTGATTCCATAATTTGTCTTTCTGGACTATGATTAAGAAAATAAAAACTTCAGCTATAAGGTAAGAAGATGGTTTTATTTTTAAAAATAGCATTTCTGTTCTCAGCCAGTAAAATTTAAAACAGTAAAGCACCCCAGAATCCAGAATTTAACAATAATGATGGGTAATCTTGCAACCACTTATGCACAGTAACTATGACAATGCAAAAAAAAATCAATAAATCAAGCTTCATACCCAAGGATAACTTCCCCTTGCAAAACCTGAAAAAACAGAGTTAAAAGGAGCCTTCACTAGTTTCCCGTTTCTCTCCTTCACTTGCCAAATCAGTTTGTCTCTCTCGCCTAAAAAACTTACTTCATCAGCTTCATCAGCAGGGGGCAGCAGAGACTGCAGAGATCAATCTAACCCCAGATGGGACAGGGACAAGCTTGCACCCCGCTCAGAGATGCCAGATCACACCCCTAGGATTAGAACCCAATTTTCTCTGTGTGAAGTCAGACTTGCAGGTCAGCACCACACAGAAGTGAAGGCAGAGCCCGGGGCTGGGAGCCAGGAGCCCCCAGTTCTGGTTCAGGAACTAACTAGCTATAGCTCAGAGAAAGTCTCTTCCCTTCTCTGACCTCAAATTCAGCTATAAAGTAAGGGGCTTGGTCAATATAAGTCTCTAAAGTTTCTTTGTGCACCATCTATAAGCAGTGTCAAAGATCACCTATTACTGGTGTGAACAACATAAACTGGCTAGAAATTGGTCCTGTCATCTCAGATTGCAAGAGGAACAATGAGTTGAGAGTAATATGAAGATTTCTCTCAAAAATACCTCCCCAGCCCTGCTCACCACTCAGAGTGAAGCTTCCCCCCAAATTCTAAACTGCAAACAAAAAAAGAATGTGAGCCACTTCCCAAATTAATTTCTGACTCTGGTCACCACATGGGGACTTCCTGCCTCCCACACCTGAATGAAGCACTCAGGGCAAGGAGACGTGGCCTGCCCCTTATTCCATGGGCAGGCCTGGCTCACACAGCACCAATGGAAACCTGACCAGCAGCCAGATGCACTAGCAAACCAGGAGGTCGGCCCCGAGCAGAAGCACCTCCCTGAGATACAGATTCCTGGTGAGTGCACAGAAAAACACCACAGGGCCTGGGCCTCTCCTCGGGCCTAGAAACTTTTCCTACTGAAGAAGCTGACTTCCCACGGGATTTCTCTCTTCCTCACTAAAACAGACACGAGGTGAATCCTACAGTCTGTGTCTGACAATTATGAAGGTAGCTGAAGAGAGAAGTATGGGAAATGTCTGCTATTTAAAAGAGGCCAAGAGCTATAGACACTTCCGCAGAAGTCTCGGCGGACACTCCTTATCCACCAGGTCTTCTCCTTGTTCTAACTCGGACTCCTGAGAATCAATTAGAAAACCCGGCAGCCGTGCTTCTGAGTGCAGTCAGGATAGACGATCCTGAGTGCACAGTGCCCCGCACTCAGCCTGCACAGAGACATGAGGTGGGAAAGAGGCTTAACTTCCCTGAGAGGGCACGACCTCACCATATTTCTGAGTTGAGGACCAACATTTTGAGACAGAGAATTCCAAGTTCGTATAGAGTCACAGGAGCTTCCACAATGAACAAACCCAACAATACAAAACTGTTCAACAATTTAAAATGAATCTTATGTTCTAAAATTGAACAGTACTGGCTCAGTGATAATGAATTTACTGACAACTAGGACCAGTAAAACAATTTAAATGTTAGAGAAATACTAGGTGTAGATAAAATCATGCAGTGATAGCAGGTAAGTCAATTGCCTGGGCAAGGAGAAACAGTGCACTGTGAAAGTCCCCTCAGCTACATATTGCAGCATATGTTACAAATTACAAACTACCTATGAAAGTCTGGTGGCTGTATTTTTAGACACTCTAATTGCCAGCTCTATTAAAGCAAAAGAAAACCCATTTACTACACACAGAGACATGAATGCACACTTTTCACAAAAATATATTATATAATTCAAAAATGTCCTCAAATCTTCCTATGTAGACATTTTCCAATACCCTGTGGTTGAGGGTATGGATTCTAGGGTTATACCACCTGAATTCAAATCTTGGTTCCTCCACAGTGGCTGTGGGAACTGGGAAAGATTTGTGTCCTGTCTCTGCAGTGCCTTCTGTTGCGGGGGGGAGGGTAATAACAACAACATCCTGGCCTCATATGTCTGTGGTGAGAACTAACTGCCCTAATACAAATAAAGCACTTGAAACAGAAGGCACCCAAAAGAGCATAATAAACATTAGTGGCCATCATGATCAGAGTCCTAATAATTTAAAACTCCAGGGCTACAAGCTGTAACTTAATTTTTCCAGGATTGGAGCCAAGTCACCTATAATCAGGGCCTTATCTTTACCAAGCTTCGTTTAATGGCAAGTAGCCACTTCTCTACAAGGTTTCTGCAAAGGGCAATGAATTAAGCCACGAGGTTTTAAAAAGTAAAATGGCAGCTACCCTTTCAATTACGTAGGAAAGTTAAGGCCACATTCAAAGAACAGCAATGCTGTTTAAAGAAACCATTGCCAGCTGTCCATCTTCAGAGCACCACAAACAACAAACTGCCAACACAAGCACCCTTTTCCTTCCTTTAGAGTTAGAAATAAAAGACTTTCTTGAGGTCTGATTTGAAAAAGCTGATTTAAAATGAAAAAAGAAGTGAAAGCTGGGGAGAACAACAAACAGCCCAAGACTCCACACTGGAGGCAAAGCAGCACACAGCAGTGTCACCACCTCCCCAAGCCAGGGTGGCCTTTCTTGACCTGGCACAAGGTCACCACAGCCAAGTGAAGGCAGCTAAGAACTGAGCAAGGGGTAGGTAACAGTGCACAGGAAACCCTAAAAAAGCAAATGAGTCAATTACATTATGACTTTTAGAAAACTGACAAGTGGTCAAGTTTTTTGATGAGCCTGTCAAGTTCCAGAATAAGAAGAATGTACATTTATGCTTTCATTTAAGAAAAGACAACCTATCAAAAACATTTCTCAACAGGAAGCTGTGAAGAGATGCAGAACTCACTACACGTGCTCCATAACTCTGAGGTGCTCACAATGCACGATGGCTCCTTCGTGCTAGTCACCATGTGAGACACTTTGTCGGTATCCCCTCAGTATTAATTTCCACAAGGAGGCCACAAATTATGGATTCGCATTCCAGTTTTGCATATGAGGAAACAGGCTCACAGAGGTTAAATAATTTGATCAGTATCACATACAGAAAGTGCCAAAGTTACAATCTGAAATTAAGCATTGCCAAGGCAGGTACCCACTGCACTTTGCCCTGTTCCAGTGGATCTCAATAAGAGGGAATTTTGTCTCCTCACAGACATTTGATTAAGTTCAGAGACACTTTCAACTGACACAACTTGGATGGTGGTGGCTGGAGCAGCATCTAGTGGACAGAGGCTGGGAGGTGCTGAACACCCTCCAGTGCACGGATGCCCCCACCACAGAGTATTACCCAGCCCAAAGAGCCAATAGCTCCAGTGCTGAGCAAGTTTGGCCTGTGCTCTAAGACCCTGCAATCCTTAGGGAGGGACCCAATGCTGGCCACATTCACTCTGAGGAGGAAAGAAATACCATTCTTATTAGAGCAGATGGGAAGCTTGTCACAGGAGTGGGATTTGGGTTTAAAGTTTGGTTTTAAAATACAGGTAGAAAAGAAAGGGCAGTACTTTCAGCAGCTTAAGACAAAAAAACAGTTGAAGATGTGGAGCTTAAAAAAAATGTCAAGATAAGTACTTTCTCTAAAATATCTGCAAAATGACACTAGTAAAAATTTACCAACAAAAATTCTGATAAATTGGCATGTATTTATAAATGTTTGGGACACCTTTGAATATTCATAAATTGACAACTTTGACTCCAGGAGGGAAACTGGGTACCTGAAGGACATACATTTTAGGACACATGCACAGTACCTACATAAGAGATTAATTAATGGGAAAAAATTTACCTGCAGGGAAATATGGGCTGACACCAGATGGCAGAACACCTTAAACAGATTGATAGGAGAACAGTGCTTTAACTCATTGGACAAAGGCAAGTACAATTCCAAAGATATTATACACAGTGTGGGGGAAAACAGGGAACAAACAGGCCCCAAAGCCAGGCTCTAAGTGCAAATTCCTGCTTCACTGTGTACTACTTTTTACGTTATTTCCTGACCTGGGGCAAGTTACTTAACCTCTCTACCCCACAGTTCCTCCTTCATAAAATCAGGAGAAAAAATATCTATTTCATAGAATTATTGTGAGGATTCAGTGAACTGAAATTTGCAAAATACTTAGAACTACGTCTGGCATATAGTAAGCATTGAATAAGTATTTGTAATTGTCAATAGAGGCATCTTAACAATAATCTAAAATAAGGAAGTTGCCATTACTATTCTCATTTTATTCATGATGAAGTTATGGATTAAGGAGGTTAAGTGACTTGGCCAAAGTCCTTTAGATATAGAGGGTGTATTTCACAATAAGACCCAAGTTCTTCATCATTCCTTCTATTGCTCTGTGACAGCCAATACCCTTAAGCTTTAGACAACAGACAATGGAAAGTCACTACAGGTTTCTAATTGGGGAATAGGGATTACAAAAGCCAAGTTTTACTTAGGAAGGTAACTGACAATGGAACGGAGACTAAATGGGGAGGGAAGCAGAGTAGGGTGGGCTGGCCTCCAAGGGAGTAGAGAAGCCTGAGGAAAGGCACTGGCTGGAGGTGACAGGAACTGAACTGGAAGATGGTGAAGCTGGAAACGGAAAGAACATCAGGAGTAAGAGACATGGCACGGAGGGAGTAATGGCTAGTGCCTGGTGAAGCACGGCAAGTGACAGTATGGGGTGACTGCAAGGTAGTCAGCTACACCTGACTTCGAAGGTGAAGGAGGTCATACACTGACAAAGAGTATTAGAAAACTGGCCTCCTTGTCTTGTACATAACAGTGTCTACTGATAAAGGATCTTCTCACTACTACTCAGGAGTGAAAAACACATAGGCTGAACCAAAGGGAATGAAGGAAAATTTAGGTATACAGATTATTAACTGGGATACATAACAATTTTCAACCTTAAAAGTTATTAGTTTAGGAAAAAAAAGTCCAGATTCCATATTTTCTGAAATAAAATTAAAAATGTGTTCACACTAAAACAAAACTTCTAATATTGCCTACAAGAACTAAGTGCAGACCACAAAAAGTCGAAATGTTTTCTAGACCAGTAAAACACAATTGCTCTTAGTCTCCAAAGTACAGTGTAAATGAATTACAGTGAGGATAATACATGATTAAATCATTTGTTCAATTCAGCAAATATGCATTCAAGTTCCATTAAACTCCAAGAATTGCATCTTTAGATTTACAGACTCTTCATTTGCTAAGAAAGGCTGGATTTTATTTTCCCTTCTGAAATTCAAACTAAAAATCAGTGCTTCATTTGCTAATTTGCCTTCTTACACTGCCAAGTCTGGGCTGTGGCGACAAGGTTGCTCACCTATGGCAATAGCAGATACCTTTTTTTTAAAAGGTATCACTGATAAACAATTATGAAGGTTTAACATGAACAACATAGTGGTTTCAACATTCACCCATATTATTAAGTGCCCCCTTACATACTCCATTGCAGTCACTGTCCATCAGTGAGGTAAGATGCTTGGGAGTCACTACTTGTCTTCTCCGTGCTAGACTGCCTTCCCTGTGACCTATCTATATTGTGATTGTGAATTTTAATGCCCCTGAATCCCCTTCTCCCTCCTTCCCCACCCACCCTCCCCAACCCCTTGCCTTTGGTAACTGCTAGTCCCTTCCTGGGGTCTGTGAGTCTGCTGCTGTTTTTGTTCCTTCAGTTTTGCTTTGTTGTTATCCTCCACAAATGAGTGAAATCATTGGCACTTGTCTTTCTCCACCTGGCTTATTAAACTGAGCATAATACCCTCTAGGTCCATCCATGTTGCTGCAAATGGTAGGACTTGTTTTCTTTTTATGGCTGAATACTCCACTGTGTATATGTACCACCACATCTTCTTTATCCATTCATCTAATGATGGACACTTAGGTTGCTTCCATATATTGACTATTGTAAAGAGTAACAACAGATATCTTTGAAAATTTAGAATTCCAGAGAATGACAGAACCTATGTGAAATAAATTCAAGCTGGTATTTCTGAAATTACTTTTTTGTTAGAATATGTAAATCTTAACATTTTTAGGATTTATCACAGATAATTAAGAAAATGTTTCAGAGTTTTAATAAGATGATTTCTTAGAACTGCCACTATAAGTTATAAATAATGAAGTGTCATTTGGGGACTCCAATAACTCCAATTAACACATCAATTTTCCCTTTACCACATATTGTCTTCTGCATTAAACAATGGAAAATTGTTTTTTCATTTGACCTATCAGCCATGTTAAAATATGAATTAAAATGCAACTATCTAAAATCTAAAAGGGAACAGATATTATTATTAAAGAAAATCTATACTAAGTATATATGTGCACCCAATGCAGTTCTGCTGAACTACAGTACCACACTGTGTGAGCCAATGCAGGGAGCCCTTCTCTCTAGCCCCTAACTCAAGTAACATCTACAGTAACAGAAAACAAGTTGCCAACCTGCAGTACAAAAAGACAAAGATAAATGAAGAGATGAACACACAGGCTGACTAAACAAAGCTATCAATATACAATTTCAAAAGCAAAATCTAGGATGCTTCTACTGAACAAATTTAAGCTTCAAAGTTTTTGTAAAATGAGCTTAAAAACCTACTACTCATATGCATGTATGCAAATACTAGCTACAATTGTCAGGAAGGTTCTATTTTAGGCACCCATCTCCTGAATCCAGTTCTTTAATTATAAATCATTCCCTGATTCTTCTCCTACTTAAGAATTCTGGACCTAAGCCTATATTTCACAACTTGAACTCACTGGCAAGTCTAGCTACATACAGGCTGTTTTCTCAAACAAACCCAGCAACCACCTTGACAGATTACTTACTCTAAAGAATTATCTCTAGTAATTACCTATTGTATCAGAACAGGTAATCCAGAATAAGTCATATCTGCAGCTTTCCTAATTTAGGATGTGAGGGCAATGAGGAATACAGATAGATACACCCCATGTAGAAAATTGAATCTGGTCAATGTTTCTAATGAGAAGGAGTTCTTCCATATGTGTGCACTTTCATTCTACAAAATGCTGGAACACACAAAAAATTATTTCTTTTGAATTATTTTCTGAGGACCTGAGTGAGACATTTTGTAGCAATGATACTAGATAAAATAATTTCTCATTTATACTGTATCACTTACCTTAAAAAAGACCAACACACCAAAAGAAATACATGTCTGCCACGTACATATTGCTCCCTTTACATCTCTTTTATCATTAATATATAATTGATTCAATAGGTTAAAAATGTTATGCACTATAATATATATATGTATTTTTCCAGAAATTATATATATATATATAAAATTTATATTCACACTCACACACACATGTGTGTATGCGTTGTGTGTGGACGTGCATTTTTTTAAGAACAGGAATTCACATTCTTAAAGGCTAACCACTTGGTACTGGAAGGTGGGGGCTGTCGTCATAAGCCTCACCTGTCGAATGATACTCTTCACGCAGCGTACCGGGAGGCCTTGGTAGTTGGACTTGATGATCCATTTGAGGAGATGGTGACCAAGCACTTCAAAGACCATGCAGACATCTGGGACACAGTTAAGGATCACCCATGGATACGTTTCCCAGTGTGATGCAATTACTAAAATCACTGTGGCACTTGGCATCCTTGTGGCACATGAAATTTCTTTCTTTATAAAAGGTAGTATCAGTACTATCAATAACACCAAAAGTGGTCACTTGCTATTTCTTACCTATATGAAAAGATCTAACATTTACTGAGCACTTTTTATGCCATGCACTATTTAATGAGTACTCATAACAACTTGAGGAAATAATATACCCGTCCCTACATAGAAACAAGGACAGCAAACCTCAGAGTTCAAAGAAGACTCCTGCACTACACAGTCCGAAGGTGGCACAGCCACAACTCGATCCCATGCTTTCCTGGGCTCTCTTTGCAGCACACTCCTCCTTGAAAATGAGCAAAACTAAAACCTCACAGAAACTGACAAGGAAAACAGTACAGAATTCCCTAAGGGTCCTGCCTTCCTGACTAAATTTCCATTTTAGAGGTCACAGAAAATATTTTATAAAGTAGAAATTTACCAAGCATAGTGAAGATAATCTTTTTCTTCAATGGCATCTTTCACCACATAACTATATCAATTTTAATACTAGAGGCAGTTTTTAAGAATGTATAATATCACAATACAAGACACGAGATTAAGACTAACCTCTTAATGAAATCTTAGGAATCTGGGGCTTTTTAAAAATAGAAATCTCGTCAACCACTGATCCTCCTTAACTATGATCCACCAAAGTCCATCATACAAATATATTCATGTCACTCATACACAGGAAGATTTCAAATGGCTCTGAAATCCTTTGAGAATATTTTATTCATCCCTGGAGGCATACAGACAGGCTACTGAAGAGATCAACTGATTCAATTTTTCTTTTTACAATATCTGGATCTACCACATCATCACAACAACTGTTGCTTTAAACACGTTTAATAAAAATAAGAAAAGTATTTCTACCTTATTAGAAAACATATTTACTACAGACATAGCAGGACTAATTACAGTTTCTTACTGTCCCAGGCTCATGACAAAAAAATGGCAAACTAAGGACCACAGTTTAGTGAGACATACAGAGCCGAAGCTCAAGGGTTCTAAATTATGACCAAAGTCTTCTCAAAAAACTAGAAAAAACTAGAATATGATTGGTTTCTCAGCAATTTGTTGAACTGCAAATATAGCCACTAGAATGTACATTACAGAAATACTACAATTACCTATATCAGGTGTTTTCTCCAAAGAGACCCTTTCCCTGTCAGCAGTCCCAGAAACTGTCTTGCAAATCTGATGCAAGAGGAGGGCAGATGCTTTCAGCACTTAGCAGAAATGATCTGAAGGTGAGGGACAAGGTGACATCAGCACTCATTGGTACTTGCTCGTATTCTCAAATCCAACCTCTCTAAGAAATAAAAACCTCCTCAAATATCTAGGGTGTGAAGGGAGTGCTTCCCTAAGGGATTGACAGTATATCACTGTGGTATTTATGTCAAGTCCATCCTCAGGCTTCTGGAGCTTAAGCAGGTTAAATATCAAAATATTGGATCTGTTCCAAACATGATGTAAAGGCAAGAGCAAAAGATCAGGAACAAGGAAAAGACCCTGGCTCTTGACACCCTCTAGGCACTCATCAGTCACAGAGTTATGAACAAGTGGTTCAAAATTCCCAAACCTTCGGGAATGAAGTTTTCACTCAGGCACACAAAGGGCTATCTTAGAGGTCCAATACGAATACATGGAAAGAATATTCTGGAAACTAAAGGCATTATCTCTTCCCTACACTTGTGTTGTCAGCTCTGATAGCATTGGGATACACTCCGCTGTCACTGCCACCCTGAGGCTGACCTGAAGCAATGCCCCAGTCAGAGGGATGGTGAAGATGAGAGGCTAGCTCCCTTGTACAACCTCTAATCACTTCCTCCTGAGCTCCCACACAACACGCAAACTTACCAGCAGCCCAGTCAAATCTGGTTTTCTCAAAAGAGAAAGGGAGGCCAGAGATGCCCTAGCTCTACCTACATACAGACACATTTATTTTCCAGTGGGACCTACAATTAGGACTACTGCCTCCCTATTTAAAAAGCAAAAGGAACAACTAAACTTATAGCGGACAAAGAAATTTCATCTTTCAAGAATGTTTCATTTCCAATCAGGATAATTTCTTTTTGAGAAAATAAATACTATGCATGATATTCTAAAGAAAAAGAAAAAATTTAAATTGAACAATTTAATCTTCAAACAACTAAAGTGAGTTAATACAGATTTAAGAAGAGAAGAAAATAACTTTGCTGAAATGTGATTCAAAGTCTTTAAAAAGTGATTTTACATTGTCAAGAAAATGTGAATAAGGAGCAAGTACAACATGATACCAAGAAATGATTTTTATTCAGTAAGATTTATGATTGATTTTTTAAGTCTATTTTTTTCAAAGATGCACACTGACATTTGTAGAGATAAAGGATATGACTTATAAGATTTGTTTTGAAATAATTCAGCAAGAAAGGGTAGATGAAGTAATTATGGCCAGACCTTGACAATTATTGAATTTGAGTGATGGATTTGTAGAAATTTATCACACTATACTCTCTAATTTCAGCTATGTTGCAATATAAACTACATTATAAAAGTTTTTAAAAGACAAACATTGGAAGTCTCTTCCATTAAGCACTGGCTTATGTCAGATGTACCAAACAGTAGAGAAAATGTATCACTTTACATTTACTAGGCCTTTTCAAAGTAGACAAACTAGGAGCAAAAAAAAATAAAACCAAAATATTTCAATATACACCTGGCAGAAAGATGATCCTCTGTGGGATCAAGTGCAACTTTGCACTTCACAGTAGCATGTTGACATTAGCACAGCATTTTTCCTTTTATTGCCTCAACCTCACATGATTCTTACAGCTACCAGAGGATACATAGCCCTTGTAGTCTGATTTTTTAAAGTTAAAAGCAAAAAGTGCTGGTGCACACTTTCATCTTCCACTGCAAAAATAAACTTCACTAGAATTAACAAAAAAGATCAATTAATTTTCTCTTGCCAAAGTCAAATCAAGTTGTTGTAAAAACAATTTTATAAGATGGTATTACACCAAAAAAACTCAAAAGGCCCTTGCAGGCATACTATTTTACAATACTCTGCAGTGATACTGGAGGCTTTTTGTGGACAGTAATACAGCAGAAGGAACATGTTTACACAGGCTTGAAATACTGCCATTTTTAAAAATGGAGAGTCAAAATCTATTCATGATAAAAACTATCAACAAAGAGAGTATCCAGGGAATTTACTTCAACATAATAAAGGCTGTATATATGACAAACTCAAAGCTAACATCATACTCAGTGATGAAAAGCTAAAAGCTTTTCCTCTAAGATCAGGACCATGACAAGGATGTCCACTGTCACTACTTTTATTCAACACAGTACACTGGAAGTCCTAGCCACAGCAATCAGACAAGAAAAAAGAAACAAAAGGCAAATGGTAATAAGTAAAACTATCACTATTTGCAGATGACATGATACTATATATAAAAAAACCCTAAAGACTTCACCAAAAAAAATCAACCAGAATCAATAAGTGAATTTAGTAAAGATGCAGGATCAAAATTTATATATAGAAATCTGTGGCATTTCTACTAACAACAAACTAGCAGGAAGAGAAAATAGGACAACAAATCCCATTTACAATTGTAACAAAAGGATAAAATTCTTAGGAATAAATTTAACCAAGAAAATGAAGGACTTAACTGTGAAAACTTTAAGGATAAAAGAAATTGAAGATACAAATAAATGGAAAGCATTCCATGTTCATGAACAGAAATAATTAATATTGTCAAAATGGCCATAAAACCCAAAGCAATTTATAGATTCATTGTAATTCCTAGCAAAGAGGAATGGCATTTTTCACAGAACTAGAGCAAATATTCTAAAATTTCTATGGAAGCACAAAAGACCATGAATAGCTAAAGCAATCCTGAGAAAGAATAACAAAGCTGGAGGCATCATGCTTCCTGATTTCAATCTATACTACAAAGCTACAGTGATCAAAACAGTATAGTAGTGGCACAAAAACAGACACCTAGATCCATGGAACAGAATAGAGGGCCCAGAAGAAAAATCCATATTTATATTAATCTATGACAAAGAAGCCAAGAATATACAATGGGGAAAAGACAGTCCCTTCAATAAATGATGTTGCAAACAATGGACAGCTACATGCAAGAGAATGAAACCAGATCACTTCTTTATGCCACATACAAAAAATACACTCAAAATGAATTTAAGACTTAAATGTAACACCTAAAACCACAGATGTCCTGAAAGAAAATGTAGGCACTAAACTCTTGGACATCAGTGTTAGCAATATTTTGTTGGATCTCTCTCCTCAGGCAAGGGCTGCAAAAGCAAAAACAAAGTGGGACTACATCGGAGTAAAACACTTCTGCAGCAAAGGAAACCATGAACACCACAAAAAAGGTAACCTACTGACTTGGAGAAGATATTTGTAAATGACACATCCAATAAAGGGTTAACAGCCAAAATAGATAAGCAATGTACACAACTCAACACAAAAACAATCAGATGAAAAATGGGCAGAGGACCTGAATAGACATTTTTCCCATGAAGACATACAAATGGCCAACAGACACATGAAAAGATGCTCAACATCACTAATCACTGGGGAAATGCATATGAAAACAAGAAATACCTGTCTGAATGGCTACTATCAAAAAGACAAAAAAGTAACAAGTGTTGGCAGGATGTGGAAAAAAGGGAACCCTTGTGCACTACTGGTAGGATTGTAAAGTGCCACAGCCACTATGGAAAACAGTATGGAGGTTCCTCAAAAAATTAAAAATAGAAAATACCATACAATCTGGATAGTTACCCAAATAAAATGAAAACACTATTTAAAAAAGATATATGCACCCCTATGTTCACTGCAGCATTGTTTCTAACAGCCAAAATATGAAGCAGTCTAAGTATTCACTGACAGATGGATAAAGATGTGATACACACACACACACACACGTATATATTCAGCCATAAAATAGAACATAACCTTGCCATTCATGATGACATGGATGGACCTAGAGGGTATTATAACAAGTGAAGGTAGTCAGAGAAAGGCAAACACTGTATGATTTCACTTAAATATGGAATCTAAAAAACAAATGAACAAATGAGCAAAACAGAAACAGACTCATAAATACAGAGAACAAACTGGTGGTTGCCAGAGGAGAGGAGGGGTGTGACGATGCATTTCAAAATAGGTGAAGGGGATAAAGAGGTACAAATTCCAGTAATAAGTAAATTACAGGGATGTAAAATACAGCACAAGGAATATAGTTAATAATACTGTAATAACTTTGTATGAACAGACAGCAACTACACTTATTGTGAGCATTTCATAATGTATATAATAAATATTAAATAATTATGTTGTACACCTGAAACTAATATTGTGTATCAACTATACTTACATTAAAAATAAATAAATAAAGCAAAAAGAAAACCTATAATATAATTCAGCCATTAGAAAGCAACAGAACTGTCAGAAAGGATACGTATTCCATTCATGCCTGAAATCTTGAAGTCATCGATTAGCTGCACTACCATGTCTTTATTTGGGTCACTGGGATCACTTTCTCGAACCTATGGAAAGAAAAATTAGTTCAAAAAAACAGAAGCATTTAAGACTGAAAGTCATTTCCATTATACCAACCAAAACTGTTTTAGTAAAAGTGATGTTTTTAAAAATAAATAATTCAGTATTTGAACTTTTAAAATTAAACTCAATTTTAATTGAGTAAACCCAGAAAAAGTCCTCTGTTTTTGCACCATTAACTTTCCTTATATCATTCACATTTTTTCAGTACTTACACATTTAAGCAATTTTATTTCATCCAAGGCTGTCTCTGTATAATGCTGGGCACTTTTGACAACTTTCATTGCAACAAATCTTTTCCCCCTTAAAAAAAATATCAGAGATGATCATTATAATGAGATCCATCCAGTAAATCAGAACTTCTCATAAGCTTTCCTTTAAAATGGTACTTTTCAAATTGTTAGGCCCTAGTTAAGCAGTGGGTTCATGGGTCAAAACAATGTCTTTTTTACTTTGTGTTTTTGTTTTTTCCTAATAAAAATAAAGTAGACTAGAAAAATGTCAGAGTTCATCACATATAGTAAGGGTAAGTATTATCTTTTAACACTTTAGTTTCAGTACACACACACACACACACACACACACACACACACACATGTATGTGTACTAAGAAGCAAGGCAGTTTCATACTATGGATCATGGCTTTAGAAACCACTGATTTGAAATGCCTATACTTTATTTTACATTTCAATGTTTTTCTGGTTGGGATGAATTACTAAGAACATGACTCCAGTGTAATACAATTCTATGAATAAGCTTCAGATATAAAGGCAGAAAAATGAATTTCAAACTGAGAAAGTCTAGCTAGGTGGGACAGCCTATGCTGATCAATTTAAATGCCACAACAGAAGTAGGTGTGCCCATCAGCTACACCTTGTTATAAAATAAAGATGCTAAACTAGACCAGGAATCAAATGCACAAATGTCAACACTTACTGCATATCCCAGCACAGCCAGACAGTTGAGAAGTGTCCCCATCCTAGCTTCCTAATAACATGATAGCGGCCATTGAAGAGGTCTCCAATTTTCACTGGATGATAGCCACCTTTTATTTAAAGAAAAATTTTTCCTTTAATTTCAGAAAAATAGTAATAGAATCTCATCTCTTCTTTTGCTGGTTCTTGATAGCATTAAAGAAAGCTCTAAATCATAAATCACATTAAAACATGTTTAATAATATAACATTTTTTTCAAGAATACCTTTCCTCAAGAGAAAAATATCCTATGACTTTCTGTTAGGCTTATTTTGTTCTTGTTGTTATCATTAATCTACAATTACATGAGGAACATTATGTTTACTAGACTCCCCCCATCACCAAGTCCCCCCCCCACCAAGCCCCATTACAGTCACTGTCCAGCAATGTAGTAAGATGCTGTAGAGTCACTACTTGTCTGCTCTGTGTTGCACCACCCTCCCTATGCCCCCCCCACATTACACATGCTAATCGTAATGTCCTCTTTCTTTTTTCCCCCTCCTTCCCACCCAGCCTCCCCAATCCCTTTCCCTTTGGTAACTGTTGGTCCATTCTTGGGTTCTGTGAGTCTGCTGCTGTTTTGTTCCTTCAGTTTTTGCTTTGTTCTTATACTCCACAGATGAGTGAAATCATTTGGTATTTGTCTTTCTCCACCTGGCTTACTTCACTGAGTATAATACCCTCTAGCTCCATCCATGTTGTTGCAAATGGTAGAATCTGTCTTCTTCTTATGGCTGAATAATATTCCATTGTGTACATGTGCCACATCTTCTTTATCCATTCATCTACTGATGGACATTTAGGTTGCTTCCATTTCTTGGCTACTGTAAATAGTGCTGCGATAAACATAAGGGTGCATATGTCTTTTTCAAACTGGGCTGTTGCATTCTTAGGGTAAATTCCTAGAGGTGGAATTCCTGGGTCAAATGGTATTTCTATTTTGAGCTTTTTGAGGAACCTCCATACTGCTTTCCACAATGGTTGAACTAGTTTACATTCCCACCAGCAGTGTAGGAGGGTTCCCCTTTCTCCACAACCTCGCCAACATTTGTTATTGTTTGTCTTTTGGATGGTGGTGATCCCTACTGGTGTGAGGTGATATCTAGGCTTTTTTTGTTGTTTTAATTTAACTTACAAAGTCAATGCACCATCAGGCACCCCATAACAATAGTTTGAAGTTTCATATTTCAGTCTAGATGTACATAATATTCACATACCAGCTCTTGACATTTCAAAACACCCCTTTTTAATTCCAAGCAGTAAGTGAAATGCAAACCTTCTGGGGTTAGTACAACATAACAAACTACAGGATGTGTACTCTGAGTAATTCTGCATACACCAACAGGTTACCCGTAACCAACAGAGAATTGTAAAATCTATGACAATTTAACCTCCAACAGAGTTTGCTCCTCTCACCACTCTTCCTGCAACCTCAACTGCCTGCTGGGAAAAGGCTGAGGAAGGAGAGGGCAACCTGTTAAGGTAAACTCTTCACAGACATCTGGCATAAAAAGACCTTAAACTTTGCATTCGTAAATAAAATAAGCAGGCTACAAAGTAGGATGAATAACATAATATCATTTTTGTAAAACACACAAGAAAAAGTCTAAGAGAGCAAGATGTTACCAACAAACATCTCAATATAAATCGAATTATTTTCATCGATATTTTATTCTTTTTATTTTTCAATGTTTTCCTAAAACAAACAACACTTTTCCACTTTTTATTCTTTTATCATCTGCTTATCTATTGCAGAGATGTCATTTCTCATTTTTTAAATGGGCAGAATTCTTACAAGTAACTCAGGACAGACATGGATGGTTCGTGTCTAATGTTAAGAGGCCCAAAGCAGGTGCAGGAAGTATGCAAACCACATCCTTCAATATACTGTGTAATCCTCAGAGGGCTCAGAGTAATACTTCAAGAAATACTATGAATGTTTATAAATATTTAAATTGTATTAAACTAGTGAAGGAATTTGACCAGATACTATTATACCATTACACTTCCTTTTCCCAGATTTTAATATTAAAGTCTTTAACAATATTTTGGGTAAAATGTATTAACTAAAAGTTAGGAATAAAACATAACAAACTATTAAATGGATGGATGGCTGTTACATAAACTTAATGTGGTAATAATTTCACAATATACAAATACGTTGTTGTTATGCTGTACACCTTAAAACTTATACAGTGCTGTACTGTCAATTATATCTTAATAAAACTGGGAAAAAATGGTTATTACTTACTTAAACTAAAACTGAGGTGGACTCTGAGTTTACAATACAGTTTATAAACCATTAAAATTAACACTGAAAAGGAAGAAAAGAAAACTACCCTATTTCAAGTATGAATTAGCGGCACTGTGCTAGGCACTTTATTTTTAAAACTATGTTTCATGAAATGAAAAATTAAGTAAACTATGTTGCAGGTGTTTCACAGAGGGAACAGGGAAGGGGGAAGAAGAAGGGAAGAGAAGTTCTATTTGGGAAATGAGAAGTTAAGGCAGATTTCTAGACCACAGGGGTTCTCAGAGGCCAGTGTCTTAACACTCAATGGGAATTCCCCTTAAGAGAAGAAAGCATTCTGCTAATTCCAGAATGTATGAAACCATTTCTTCAAAGAACTAGTCACACTTCACAACACACAACACTTAAGAAACATTGGTGTCTGTCATTTCTTATAACCACCCCACAGAGAAGATGGTATTATTTCTACACTGCTCAAGTGGGCACAGGTCTCAAAGATAGTTCAGTAGTAGGCTCAGGGCTGACACTGCGTCTGACTCCAAATCCATGCTCTGCCCATCAGGAAGAAATGCACTCCACTTTTAACAGCCAGAGGACTGTTTCCCAGTCTCAGTACACAGGGAAAACTCGATAGTTTAATTAAAAGCTAGTTACTGCTGAACTGCATATTACTGCTAATATTAAAACCTCTGCATTTTAAAATATTTTAATCATGCACAAAGAGAAGAAACTCGTATCAGCATTGTATGTTTCAGATTTGGATTCTTCAACAGCCAGACTGAGTACATGTGAGCACAAACAGCAGAGCCTGTTTCCGAGGTAATTACAGCACAAGCACACAGAGACTTTCTCAATGGGACTCTGAAAGTTGAACAGAAGATTACCAGTTTAGTCCAGTTACCTCAGAATAGGTTCAATTTGTAATAGTAAATCAGAAGTTCAAAACTCTATCATAGGCAATAGATCAGAAGGGTTTTAAAGAAAGTCTTTTTTCTACTGATTGTATTAAGTATTCTTTTTTTTTTTTTTTTGCTAACCCTGTTTTCTCAGCCCTATGGTGAGGTTTCTGTCTGCAACCACTGAAGGCTCTCAAAGACCTAAGAAAAAATTTGAGAATCACCACCAACACAAACAGTCTTAAAAAGGAAAGGGTATTGAAAAGAAATTTATTCACAGAATGATAACATAGATGCATTTTGGGTCACTAAAGATTTCAATACTCATTTCCCAAAAAATTAATGGAACAAGTAGAGAAAAACAGTAAGGATATGGAAGATCTGAATACATCATTAACCAACTTGACATAATTGACATTTATAAAACACTACTTAACAGCAAATATTCATTTTAAGTACATGGAACATTTACCAAAACAGACCATATACTGGGCCACAAAACAATTCTCAACAGAAATTAAGAATTGAGCTCCATAAAGCATGTTCTCAGACCACATCAGAATTAAATTAGAAACCAATGAGTGAAAATACCCCCAAGATGGGAAACTAACACACTTAAAAATAACCCATTGGATAAGGAAGAAATCAAAAGGAAAGTACAAGGTATTTTACACTAAATTAGAATGAAAACATACCGAAATGTGAAATGCTGCTAAAGCAGAACTTAAAAGAGCAGAATTTAGAGCACTGACTGCCTATGTTAGAAAAGAAGATCTCAAATCAACATTCTCAGTTTCCACCTTAAAAAAACAGAAAAAGGGGAGCAAATAAAACTGAAAGGGAAAGAAAGGAAATAGAGCTGCAATTAGTGAGACAAAAAGCATAAACACTAAAAAAGAAAATCAGTGAGACCAGAACCTGGTTCTTTGAGAAAATGATAATAATTAATAAACTTCTGGCTAGGCTGAGCCAGGAAAACACAAACTACCACCAAACTGAGGAATTAGTGACATGACATCATTACTTATTTTACAGATAGCATAGGATGAGAGAATATTATAATTTTATGCCTATAAATATGAAACTTAGATGAAATAGACAAATATAGTGAAAGACACAGAACACACACCCAAGTTCCAATCATGAAGAAATTCTGAGGATAAAATTGCAGTATTTCCAGAATCTGTCACCTGGCCTTACTGTATCTCCATATGAATAGGTGTCTCCAAGAGATGGAGAGAAGTAGGCCATCTCCCTATCAATAGGTAATTACTAAGGCGAGCAAAGGCATATCTGGACCTGAGACATTACATGGGGCCTCTTCTGCAGCCAGGTCACGAGAGACGTAGGAAGACTGCTTGTTAGAAATAAACGGATTTTTCACACTTTACTTCTCCCTTTGGCTGATTTCGGTTTCAAAGGTACTTTACTCCAGGATTTCTGCCCCACCCCAGAGTTACATCTGGAGCAGTCGGCAGGATCTCTGAACCCAAAATCTGTCTACATGGGTGCAACCCTTGGGCTGGCTGCCCCTAAGGATGGTGAGAAGATGCCCAGAAACCCCACTGTGGATGGTGGGGAGGCCCCAGTGGCTACAGTGGTAGAGGATGCAGCTTCACCAGGGAGCCCCCTATTTGTGAGGCTTCCAGTTGGGGAGCCCCTGGTGGATAACTGGTCTAGGGTAAAGCATCTCGTAGAGGGGTGGGGTCTTCCCCAGAATTGGGGAAGGGAGGACACACTGGAAGCTGCAAACTAAGCCCTCCATGAGCAAGAAGACTGCTTAGAGGCCCTGAGTGGCCATGTAGCAGCTGGAATTGTAGGATCTCTTTTCGTCAAGACAGTGGAAAGCGTTATTGAGGACAGAGAGAGAGGGTTAGAGAGAGAGAGAAACTTTGGCAGTAGAGAGACACACTTCAGAATCACT